ACCCAGCAGGTCAGGTCTGGCCCGCACGCCCTGGGCCCGGTCCCCCAGGGGCTTGGGGTGGGGGGGTTGCGACTACAGCCTTTAAACCCGAGTCCTTGCCTCCAGGGCGCTTTCGGCAACTCCCAGATGTACAACAACAGCTTTGGGCCCAACTTCCGGGGCCCTGGACCGGGAGGGATTGTCAACTACAACCAGATGCCCCTGGGGCCCTATGTGACCGGTAGGTGCCCGTCGCTTCTGGGCGACACGTGTAGGGGCGCCCCCACGGGGCCCGGCCTGCCCACCACCGCCCCAGGCAAGCAAGCTCCTCTCTCTCCGACAGATATGTAGCTGTCCCCGCGATGTTCCTCTGTTGCAGCGCTCATTTCCAGCTGAGGTAAGCCCGCACCTGGGGGCTCCAATGTCCCTTGTCCCCTCCTCGGACTGGCAGGTTGGGTCCAGCCAGAATCAGCCCTGATCCACTGGGGCCCACCCCCGGGTGCCCACGAGCACGTCTGTGTGCACAGGCATCCACGGCAGTCAGCCCCGAAGCCGGCCTCCCCGGTTCCGCCTCCAGGGCCCAGCTGGCGGCGGGCACTCCGGGACATCAGCTCCCTGCCAGGGAGAGGAGGGTGGCTCAGGGTCTGTGGGGGTTAAGTGTTAATGGCTGCGAGAGGGGAGATTATTCCTCCTCCCCTCGCCCCCCCCCCAAGCCCTGTCTGTCCCCGTAAGAACTGCCACTTCAGGGTGGGGGTGCTGGGGGGTCCAGACTGGCCACTCTTCCCAGGCCGCTCTGGTGATGCACGTGTGGTAGAGAGGTCTTGGCTCTGGAGCTCTTTCTTTTTCTTCTTTTTTTTGTATTTAAATTTATATATTTTGAGAGAAAGCAAATGGAGGGGGATCAGGGGAGAGAGAGAGAGAGAGAGAGAGAGAGAGTGAATCCCAAGAAGGCTCTGCACTGTCGGTTTAGAGCCCGCTGTGGGGCTCGAACCTACGACCCTGAGATCATGACCTGAACTGAAACCAAGAATTGGACACTCAACTGACTGAGCCCCCTGGCTGCCCCTCGGGAGGCCCTTCTGGTGGTGGCTGCGTGTGGTTGGCCGTCATAGGCGGTGGTAGGTGATGACAGGGTGCTGGGTGGCCCAGTGAAGGCCTGGCGCTCAGCTGTGTCACCCGAGATCTGCCTCTTGCAGCCATGCCTGCCGGGCCACCCGCCCGACTACCACAGGAGAGAAAAGCTACCGCCTTTTTAGGAGCCGTGCCACCTTGGGACAGAAAGAGAAACTGAGTAATGCCATCACATGGGGGATGAGGCCCAGCCTGGCTGGGCCAGAGCCCAGAAGTGCCACCTCATCATAATGCAAGCATTCCACCCAGCGTCACACCCTCCCCACTCGGGGACGTGCCCCTTGGCGGACGACTTCTTAGAAGAGATTTCGTTTATTTGTACATCTTTTGCACTTTCCTATTGAAGACTTGAAAAGTTTGTCTTGATAAAAGTTGAGTGACGCGCAGAGGGGGTCTAACCTGCTACACGTAACGTCTGTCTCTGTCAACGGGCTCCAGACCGCAAGGGAAGATTCTAGAAGCCTGGCTGTTGTCCCGTGGACTCAGTCCACCTGGGCGGCCCTCAGTGTGCTCCTGCCCCACCCCATCCCGTCCACGCTGCCTGACCACCCGTGTCCTGCCCCCTGGGGCTCCCCAGTGCTGGGTGGTCAGGGCTGGGAGCGGCTGCCTAGCCCGAGGTGAAGACCTCGGCCGATGCCTGGGGCAGGGGGTTTATTCCACCCCCTTCCTCCCGGGGCTGGAGACCACCAGGTATGTGCTGTCTCTGTGGGGGAGGGGCCCAGCAGAGCTTGCAGGCCCTAGACTCTGTGATCAGAGCGCAGGCCCAGCAAGTGCTCCTGGGAGGGAGGGGAGGAGCCTGCTAGAGCCTTTTTCTCTGCCTGAGCGGGGAGGGACTTGCATCCTAGCCGGGAAGGTCACAGTGGCGCTGCCGGTGGCCCAGGAGACCCTGGTCCTGCCCTGGGAGGCCCATCACACCCACTTTCAGATACATACTCCCTGTTTGGTGTCACAGCCATGGATGCAAGGGACCAGGGCTTCCCCTTGGAGCCTGCGCCGTCCTGTCCCCAGAGAGGCCTCCATGTGGTTACTTGCTGCTGGGGCCTGGGTCACAGCCGCCATTGCTGTGTTATCAGATGGCCTGGGGAAAGACAGCCCTGCTTGGAGGCAGGGGACTGGACCTGATGACCCTCAGCCCTCCTGTAGGAGCATCCGGCATCCGCTGTCTCCCGCGAGGGCGCCCGGGCCTGTTTGTGTCTGACGCCTCCTCTGTGCAGGCTCGGCCGGAAGGAGTTTTCCCAGCTGTGGGCGGGTGGCTTCCTGGGTAGAGAATCCAGGATGGGGCCAGGATCTGGGGGCTTGTCTTGTGGCCTCCCAGGACCCAGGTGTCCTCTGTAAATGGCTCTCTGTGCACCCCAGGAGGGCTGGACCCCAAGCCCCCTGCCATCGAGGGTGTCCCCTCACTTCAGCCTCTATGAGAACCCCCAGGACTGATGCAGCCCAAGCTCCGAGGTGGGGACGGTGGGGGGCACCCCGAAGGTGGCCCGCAGGCTTCCAAGATGTGTGTGCAGCCGTGCTGACCTCGCCTTCTGGGAAGGGCAGTGTCACCCCTGTCCCCTGTGGTTCCTCCAGGGCTGCGTGCACCTGCTTGTGTCTTGTGGTCAGTGCCTCCTGCAGAGGCTCCTGGGCCACATGCGAGGTGACCACGTGACATCCCCCCCCAGCCCTGTGATGCTCCCCTCCCAGACCTCCGGTCAGCCCTGTGGCTGGCCTCACTGGGAACAGTGCTGGCCTTCCCTGGCCGCAGTAGGTGGGGCCTGAGTGTCCAGTCGTGAGGCGCACGGGGGCAGGGCGGGGGCCTGCAGCACCACTGCCTTGCCCCAGGGGCTGGTGGTCCCCACTGCTGTCAGCCCTTCCTCCCCAGGAAGCCTCCCTCCCACCTACCCCCCATCTTTGCTTCCATCCCGATCTCCCCCTTGCCCTCCTCTCCTGGGCCGGAGCCAGGCACCCACAGATGGCCAGATCCTGGAAGGGCTCAGCTCTCCACAGTGAGCACCCCCCAGAGGTCCGGGATTGTGGGGCTTTGGACAGTTGGGGAGTGGGTTTCCGGTCGGCTGGTTTGGGAGAGGAAAATGGGTCTCAGACTGTTTCCTTCTTAGTTTATCAATTGTCACCAGCCAAGAGGGGTGGCGGGTCAGCGCGGCCTCCACTGTCTCCGGCACCTTCCGGCTGGGTTTCGTTTTGCTGCTGGCGGAATGAGGGCCTTTGTACAGGCAGAATCTCAAGTGCCAGCCCACGGTTTTGTTTCCAGCCCCACTATGATTTAAACCAGTGCTGAGTAGGCTTTCTGTCAAACCACCTTTCGGCCACGGTTTTGGGAAGCATTGCCTGCTGGGCTCCCAGGGGACGAGGGGAGCTTGGGCCGGACTCACCATGTCCGGAAGGGCCCTCCACTCTTGCACACGCCTGCCTGGGAAGTGTGTCCCGTGTGAGGAGAGCCTCCCTGTAAGCCACCTTTGGAAGCTCCTTCGTTTTCTGCAACTTATGACCAAGGTCCTGCTGAAACCCACCAGGGGCGCAGGAGGTGCCTGGGGGCTCCTTCCCAGGGTCCTCCGGGGCCTCTCCAGCCCAGATTGTGGCTGGACAAGGCTTGCCCCAGTGACACGGTAGCTCTTGCTCCCAAACGTCAGGTCCTGGAGCTCTTGAGGGGGAGGCGGTGTCACACAGAGGGTTGGCTCAGGGACAGGAATGCCTCCAGAGCTTGGGGCCGGGGGAGGGGGACATGGTTGAGAGGTGGGGGGTGCCCCCCAACACCTGCAGCTATGCAGTGCCCACTACCACCTCTGTCAAGGAAGCTGGCTCCTGCCCCATTTTCTCTTTCTGGAAGTTTACAGGTCGTGGTGCATCAGCCCAAAGTCATTGGCATTGTGTTTTGGGTTTTTTTCTTAGTTTTCAGATTTTTTTTAAACAAAGTATTTTTTTAGGTGCGATAACCCAGAAAGGGCCCGTTGGGTGTGTGTGTATGTCCTGAACCCCTGATGTGGAGAGGGGGGCCCCAGCCCCCTCGGCTCCTGTGTGCGGAGACGAGGGGGGTGCCCCTCCCTGTGTGTTGGAGCCTGAGGGTACGAGGGAGCAGATCCCCACGCGGGCTGGCATCTGGCCCAGCCAAGGGGGCCGGGCCCCTGGTCCTGGGCACACCCCCCGGCTGGCAGAGGGGCCGAGGGCTTTCGGGGTGAGTTGGGAGGGTCCCAGCCAGGGGGCTGGAGCTGGAAGCTGAGCCCCCGTGAGTGGCGCCCCGTCTGGTCCCTGGCAGGACACGGGAGAGGCTGGACAGAGCCTGCAGCCGACACAACCCCCTTTACTTTGTACTCTGTGTGTATGTCTTGGTTTTCTGTGTTTTAATAAATCCTTTGGGAAAGGATGGAATCCATGTTTTCCTAACTTCTCACTAATCTAGGATGGGGGTGGGCGCTAGAGGTGGCAGAGGGATGGGGGTGGGGAGTCACCCACTGCCACCCCCCCCAAAATGTGGCCTCATGAGGCTGAGGGGCTTGCTGGGAAAGGGGGGGCCCAAGAAGGGGAGGGGCCTGCCTCTCCCACTTGCACCCCCACACACAAACACAACATGGTGTCAGAGAAACATGGAGCCCCCAGTGGCACCTCGTGGGCCTCCCTGGGCCCTGATCTCTCTGCACCCAGAGGGCACAGCAGCCTCCCAGCAACAGAGAATGTGTTGAGGGCAGTGGGGAGGGCACCCTTATCCCCAAGTCACTTGGGATATGGGGTGCCTCAGAGTCCCCAGTCTCTGGCTCTTCCCCAGGGCCCTTTCTCCCCATCCCTGCTCTTCACCCCACGGTCAGGACTGGGGGGCAGTCTGCCAGTCCCTGCAGGTGGCAGCCTTCTCCCCTCCCCGCTGCCCGTGGCCGGGCCCCTGGAAAGGAGAGGAGCAGAAAGCCGCAGACCCCGACAGGCTGGGGTTTTATTTGTCATTCCATAAATACGGTGGCTGTGTCTCGCTGAGTGTCGTCTGGAAGCGCGAGGCATCAGGCAATGTCTGCCTGCGTAGGGAGTGCAGTTAGCTGAGGAGCCACAGTCATTAAAAAAAGGGGGAGAGAAGAAAAGCACATTATTTACATGACAGAAGACGGAGCAAGCCCCTCTGTCATTCCTACGGACCTCGGATTTGCACTGGATCTGGGATGGGATATGGGGGGCGGGGGGCTCCGTGTGTCAGCAGAGGAGAGGATCCCAGCCCTGCTCCCAGAGCGGACCTGCCTCCTGTGCCGGGCATTCCCCGAGGGGTCCCCTTGGGCAACCTGCCTCAAGGCGAGGGCCAGAGGCTGGGAGGCATCCCTCGACCAGGTGGCCAGTGTAAACCTGCGCCAGGGCCCAGGCCACTCCTCCAGGCCCCAACTCTGCCCAGCTAGTTTCCAGACTGGGCACCCGGGGTGGGGGGAGGGGCCCACCTGCCCCTCCCCCACACCAGACCCCCTCTAAGTCAGGAGCCCTCCCCCAGGAAGCAGAGCCAGGTCCTCCCTGCAAGTGGGTGTGGGAGAAATAGAACAGCTCAGAACCAGGCTGTGGACAGGTTCCCAGGACTGCGAATGTGCCTGGGTCCTTGCCGTGGGCATTTCAGCCTGGGCCCAGCTCAACTCTGGGGGCCCTCGGCTCCCTGTTTGGCAAACATGTGGCCAAGAGGGCACTGCCTTCCCAGGTGTGGCTCCCCATGTGGGGGCAGCAATGTGAAGGAGGGGCCAGCAGCTCTCCCCAGTGAGGGGTGGGCAGTCTGCTCCCTCAGCATGGCTGGGGCTGCCTGGCCCAGAGCGCCTGGTCCCTGCCTGTCCTGGGAGCTAGACACCCACCCTGTGTGGTGTGCAGTGGCCACAGGCAGGGGGAGTCCCCCGCCAGGACAGGCTCCCCTCGCCCCACCCCCACAGTGTGCAGCTTGTAGATTTGGTGATGACCCCTCCCCACTCCCCCCCGGGGCCTGGGCAGGGAGCCGGAGGAGGTGGGGAAAGTTCTAGACTCCAGGGTGGGCACAAAGGTCAGGAAGTTTATGGCTTTCTCAGGCCTTGGCCCAGCAGGGTAAAGCAGGACCAGTGACCGGCCGCAGGGAGGGTGTGGCTGTAGGTGGGGTGTCCGCGTAGGGCCAGCTGCACCCGCCGGGACCGGACGCACCGAGGCCCCTACAGGGTGGGCTCTAGCCTCCTAACAGCCAGCAGAGGCCGGCAGCTTAGGACCCCTGGCTGCAGGCCCTCCCCTCCTCCATCTTGCCCGCCTGAGGGTGACAGATGTCTGCTCCAGGCTGGGGGCGGGGGTGTGGATGCACCGACAGGAATGACTAGCTCCAGCCGTCCTGACCTCTGCACAGGGTGCGTGTGGTGGTTCTGCTGCCCGTCTGCCCAGGAGACAAGCTCTGGGCACTCAGACTGAGCACCCTAATGTGGGGTACCTCACCCCAACCTGCTCTGAGGCCTTGAAGGCACTGCGGCAGGGAGAGGCTCCTGGGGCCTTTTCCTAGACTGCGGGGCTTCTGCTGGATGTTCAGCCTCCCCAGCACCCCAGGCACGCAGGGCACGCAGGGCACCCAGGGGCCTGAGTGTGTTCTCTCTGCAGACCCCGAGGCCATGGCCCAGATGGGGCAGGTGGGCCGCCCCGCGTGTGGTCTGTGGCCACAGTCTAGCTAAGTACGCATGACCTCAGGGCTTTCTGGGGCAAGGAGGGCAGGTGGGGCCCTGAGAGGCCTGGGCTGGAGCCTTCCCCTCAGGCCCCTCCCCGCTCAGGGCTGCTCTGGGCACGGGGATCTCAACTGTGTGCAGGGAGGCAGCTGCCAGGGCGATGAGCTTGGTCAGAACCCCCAACCTCCTGCGAGCCCCAAACTGATGAGGAATCCCCCTGGAGTTCGGTCCCTGCTGGCAAGGGTGGGGGTGAGGGTCAAGGGATAGCTTGGAAGGCCCCTTAGAGACCTGCAGGGGCAGGGGGTGGTGGAGAAGCGGGGGCAGAATGGATCTGAGGTCGGGCCCGTCGTAAAGTCCTGGGAGCCCTTGGCAAGGAGGGAGGTTGAGGGAGACCCCCACCTGGGGGCTCTGCCCAGTGTTCAGTGTCCTGGCAGAGGGGCCCCGGGAGGGGCCAGACCTGGTTTCCTCTTTCCCACCCCCGACACCAGGTGGGGGTGCTCGGCTGAGGAGAGGCCGGCCCTGCTGCCCCCCGCACCCGACTGGAGCTCGGCCTGGCCTCCAGGCGTCTCTGGGAAGGGCCGAGACTGGGAGACAAGGTGGTGGTTTCTTCCTGGAGGGAAAGCGGAGGCTGAAGGCGAGCTTGGGCGGGGCCGTGCCAACACCCTTCCCGATCAGCGTGGTCTCCCCAGCGCGGATCAGAACTCGGTCCCGCGAAGCATCGAATGGTGTCTTGCAGCGACTTTTGAGATCTTTTCCTGATGACATCTCGGGGCTGACATCTCGGGCCATGTGTGATGTTTTCTTTTTGATGCAAACCACACCCCTGACTTGGCTTCGAAACAGCTTAAGCGAGCGAACAGAGAGACTGGGAGGGAAACGGAAACTGTCCAGGCAAGCGGCCGGGGTGGGGGGTGGGGGTGGGCTTCTTAGGATCTGTAGTCCTTTTTGCTGTAGGGTTTATTGCCCAAAATACTATCAATCTCATGGATAATGGAAGACGACAGTTTCGGAAGCACCTGTGTGCGAGGACAAGAGCAAATCAGAATCCCACTGACGAGACAGACCTGGCCCGTGGAGGAGGCTGGGTGACAGTCTTCCAGCCACTGCCAGCCCAGGCTTGTCCTGCCTCGTCACATCAGGCTCCAGCTGAAGCCGATGGGAGCTGTGCTGCTTTTATGTCCCCGAAGGTCTGGGGCAGAGAGGAAGCCTGCCCTGGTATATACTCTGTGCCTCAAACGCCAGAATGTGCTAGAACTATGTCCCGAAGACGTAAAATAGATTCCAGGGCCAGACACCTGATTTCTGCACCCCTAAACTCCTTTCTCTGCCTTCCCTATTTCAACCAACAGCAAGACCACCCTTCCTGGTAACAAACCCCCAGGGGCTACCTCTGCGGGGACTCTCCCTCACCCTCACACTCGTCGTGAACATCCGGGATCCAAGCAGCTGAGCTCTGGACCATCGCCACCCCTCTCTGAGGAGGCTTGCTGTCACTTCCCTGCGGATCTCTCTGCACCCCCTCCTGCTCCCTAAAGCCCCTCCCCTACTCAGCAGCAGGGAGAGAGGGATCGTGCCCCTCCTACACTCTCCTGTCTCACCCACAGACACCCAAGTCCTGAGAGCCCCAGGCGCTGCCCCGCCCCCTCCGCGCCAGCCCATGCTCACCGCCCATCTGCGCCTCCTTTGCTCCTGGAATGCTTTTCCTCCATTGGCACATCTCGCTCCTCACCCTTCAAGCCTTTGCTCACACGGCCCTTTCTCAACAAACCTACCCCCGACGACCCCTTCAAACCTGGGCCCGAGGCACCACTCCCTTCTGTGCGCACCGGTGCCCCTGACCTTGCTTGACTTTTTCCCCACGGTGCTTCTCACTTGCATATTCTAATTGCCTCATTCTACTGTTCACTGTCTGCTCTTCGCGAGCAGGGCCGTTAGTGGCTCACTGAGGTGGCCCAGACACCCCGCCCGGTGCCTGGCACACTGTGGGTGCCCAGCAAACGTGTGCTGGACAAATGACTGAGTGGGACCCTGTGTTCAGCTTAGGGCCTGGGGGGGGGACACACCCAACAGCCCCCTCCCCGACCCACCTGTATCGCTCCGATGTTCTCCATGAGCTGGTCTGCGCTAGAAGCACCCAAGAGCACGGAGCTGACTCCCTCGTTCCTCAGGCACCAGGCTGGGGCAGCAAGACCGGAGGTGAGGGAGACACGCCCAGTGCAAGGGCCCCTTCTGGTTCTGCCCTGTCCCTAACTGGGCCACACAGATCCAGCCTCTTGGTCATGGAGCTGAGGGTGCCTGGAGGGTCCCAGTAAGCCTACAGCTCTGGATGCTGGGTGGGGGCTTTGCCCAGAAGGAGATGGGTTCTGGGGAAGCCCAGGCACCAAGTGCTTGCAGGGGGAGAGGTGGCCCAAGTGCTCAGGGATCCCCCCCACTCTCTCCCCATGAATGTAGGGGCCCCACTGTCCATGGCTGGCTAATGGAGGGGTGGCCTGGGCGCTCAAGGACTCCCGACATGGCCCTGGGGACAGTGGTCAGCCCTACCCCCCACCAGCCCTGTTACCTATGGCCAGCTGGGGGAGGGTGCAGCCCAGGCGCTCGGCTATGGCCTGCAGCTCCTTCAGCTTGGCCTGCTGGCGCCGGCCCTCCTCATTCAGGATCTTGTCCTTCAGCCACTGGTAGCCCTGGTTGTGGGGGGTGAAAAGCACAGCCCGCAGGTGAGGGCAGGTCACCTGGACCTCTGCATGTAGACGGCTGACGATTTATGCCAGGGTAGCATCCCCACCCCTGCCGAACCGCGTCCCACTGCAGAACAGCCCTGGGCAGGTGGAAGGGCGGGGCCTGTTGAATCCGAAGCCAGAAGCCTGCGGGGTTGCTGAGGCCGGGCCCCTGCGCCAGGACAAGAGGCCCAGAAAGCCCGGGGCGGGGGGGGGTAGGGGGGGGGAATGTTTTGGCCCAGAGGACCCCTTCCACAAGGTCTGGGGGAGCTGTGGTCCCACCTGCTGCCACCCCTGGGATTGCAATGCCTCCCCGGGAGCTCCCTGACCTTGCTGTGGACTGGGCAGGGGTGGGTGGGACAGGCCGTCCTGTCGTTGAACCCGAGGCAGGGGGGCTCCAGTGCTGGATCTGTCGTGACCTGGGTAGGCCTGTCTCTGCCTGCTCCTCACCCCCCCAGACGCTGCACTTGGGAGACCCTCCTGAGTCCCCACTCTAGACGTGTGTCTTCCTGGGGGGAACTTGTCCCAGGGGGAGGCCTCTGAGGGACAAATGAGGCGGCTCTGCAGCCCCCGCCCAGAGGTCTCGGAGTTGGCCTAGAGAGTGTGGGTGGGGTACCTGTCGCGGGAGGGGCCATCCCGCAGAGCACGGGATGTGCTGTGAATTCACGTGCTGTGAATGCTCAGCCGAGCTGGAGGTGGCAGGGAGGGCTTTTTCACCTGGGGCACATCCCAGGAAGAGGGCGAGGGCGGCCTTTCCGGACGTGGGATCCGGCCAGCGGGGGCTGCAAGTTCACGTGCCGGGGAACCGCCCCACAAAGGCCCAGGGAAGCCTCGCCAATGCAAAATGCCTGTCCCCTGCCCGTCCCCTCTACCGAGCCTGGCAGCTCTTTCACCTTTAAGGAGGCTCTCGAGTAGGGCGGGATGCCACTGTCGTACTTTCCGGAAACGATGCCGCAGGCCAGAGGGGACCAGGTCATAGCGCCCACTCCTGAGAAAAGAAAGCCAGGCGAAGTCAGGCCCGGGGTCGCGAGGGTGGGCGGGCTGAGGAGCGAGGAGGAGGGGCGGGGCCTGGGGCGGGGCGGGGCGAGGCCTGGGGAAGGGCGGGGCGGGAGGGGCGGGGCACGGAGAGGGGCGTGGCGTGAGGGGCGGGGCACGGGGAAGGGGCGGGGCGTGAGAAAGGGGAGGGCACGGGAGGGGCGGGGCCTGGGGAAGGGCGGGGCGAGGCACGGAGAAGGGGCGGGGCATGGGAAAGGGGCGGGGCGGGCGGGGCACGGAGAAGGGGCGGGGCATGGGAAGGGCGGGGCAAGGCATGGGAAAGGGGCGGGGCGGGGCGGGGCGGGGCGGGGCGGGAGGGCCCACCTATCTTGTGGAAGAGCTCGGGCAGCTGGACCTCCACCTTCTCGCGCTGGAACATGTGGTACTCGGCCTGTTCGCAGATGGGCGGGATCAGGTTGAACTGCCGGGCCACCGAGTAGGCCTCCTAGGAATGGAAACAGGACCGTGGATGGTCCCTGTCCGTCAGTGGGTCTGGGGGCTGCTCGGGCAGCATGGAGGAGACACAAACACATCCCCGGGAAATCGCTGGCTCACCCGCTCTGCGACCCCCCCCCCCTCGCCCCGGGGAAATTGACTGCTTTCCCAGGAAACTTAGTCTGTCCCCCACCCCTCTCCGCTGGGAAAAGGAGGTGGGACCTCAGGCTGAAGGCATGGGGAGAGTGCACAACCCATGAGCTGCGACTCTGGCACTTATAGGCTAGGTGGCCTTGGGCAAGGGGCTCACCCTCTGTGCCTCAGTTTCCCCCTATGTTGTTAGAGTCAAATGAGCCAACTGCATTCACAGCCTTCAGGGAGGGCACGGCCTGTCTGATACGCTGGTACTGTTTTTATCATGATCATTATTCCAGGGCCCCAGCCCTGGGAAGATGGTGGCAGTGTCAGGAGGAAATGTAGCATCAGCCCATTTCTGGGGCTTGGAGCTCAAGGCCTGGACTCTGCAGACTGTCCCTCCGCTCCCACTGGATGGGTGTGAGTCAGGGCTGATGTCTCTTGACGGATTCCTGGGGAAGCCCTGCCTGCCAGCATGAGAGGCCCTTTCCTCTGGTTTGAGACTCAGCTTTTGCATCTGTAAAATGGAGTAGGATCCTGACTCCTCAGTGAGCCTTCTTCTGGCTCCAGCTTCAGGAAAACAGCAGGCGCTCATTAGTGCCGTAAGTGCCGGAGGCTGATTAAAACCACAGGCTTTCTAGAGCTGGATGAACTTGAAAATTCTGCTTCATAATTTTGATGAAGTAGAAATCTGGGACTCACTCGGGGTGCCCCTTACACTGCCACTGGGTGACCTTGGGTGTGTTACTTGACCTCTCTGTGCCTCAGTGTCCACATCTGAGAAACAGATGACAGTAACACTTCCTCCTAGGTCGTTGTGAGGATGAAATGGGAGTTAGTCCACACGAGGCCCTCAAGTCTAAGGGCAAGTGGAGCGTCACGAGAGCCCGGTGCAAGAGGCTGTGCTGTTAACTGCTGGCTGAGCTCCAGGTTCTCCGTGGAGAGCTTCCCACCTGTTCTCTCTGTCCTCAGAACAGCCTCCTGGGTGGGGGGTGGGGGGGGCGGGGAGACGCTAGGTCATCCTAGCAGTCTTGCTCTACAGGTGAGAGAACCAGGGCTCAGAGAGGTAAGCCATCTGTCCAAGGCCACACAGTGCCGAGATTCACGTTAAGAGCCCTGCCTACAGATGTGCTGCCACACGTCACCATACTGTCCCTCCCTGTAGTGCCCAGTTATCTGTGCCATTGGGACCAACGGCCCCGAATGTGCCAGAGTCCTGGGTGTTCATCCTTAGACCAGGGCAGGGAGTCCGTGCCCCGTGGACACACATACGCCGAGAGGTCACCTACCATGATTTCCATGGAGCTCCAGCGTGACGTGCCCCAGTACATGGCCATCCCCTGGTTAATGACGTGGGTCATGGCGCGCACAGTCTCTGTCAGGAGAGAAGGGGACACTGCGGGTTGGGGGTGGGGTGACTGGGGGCGCAGCCTGGGGACAGTCTACAAATATAGGTGGAGCAGGAGGTGGGGGCGGGGCTGCAAAGACGTCTTGCAAGCAGTGTACTTCCTGGCTCCAGGGTCGGGGTGGCAGGGTTTCCAGGGAACCCGGGAAACAGTCACCCACAGCCCAAGCAGCTGGTCTTGAAAACAATTTCCCCCAGTGGTTACGAGTCTTGTGGAATCTTTGAAAAATAAGTTCTAGATGGACTGTGGCATTTCTATGGCAGATTGGAGAGAGGAGGGAAAGGTGAGATCAGAGAATGCCATTCTGGGCTGTGGAGCGGTGGTGGGTGGGGGTGTCTAGTTTGGGGAAGAATCAGATCGGCAAAAGGCCACAGGAAGTAAATGGCAGCAGGGAGTTGCCTGTTCAGGTCTCCCCACTTCGGGGTGTTTCAGGTCCTCAGCGGGATCTGGGGAGCTGAATGGAGGGGCAGTAATGGCATCTGTCAGGACGACAGGCAGGGAGGGGCCCCGGATCATCCTGGGTGTGTCCCCGAGAGCAAGAAGGAGACAGCCCCGTTTCTGTCCGTCCCAGATTCTCAAACCAGCCCAGGATCAGACAAGGGACCCTCACCCAGCTGCACAGTACAGTCTTCCTAGTACCCAACAAAGTTTCTGAGAAATAAAAATCGGCCATTTGTAGTCTCCCTCCCACTCCCGCGCCAGGCGGTTTCAGCCCATGGGGATGTTGTGATTTTAACACCATACTTGGCTTCAAATTTAAAAATCTCAAAAAGCTCTTGGCTGTGCGGGGAGAAGGGCTAGATCGTCAGGTTCCTCGCTGGTCCCATACAGTGCTTGCAAGTCCCACTCCCACAGGCAGGGCAGGGAGGAGGGCTCAAAACAAGTGTCTGTCCGAACGAAGCAGCAACCTTGACCCCTGGAAGTCCTGTCTCTCCCCAGCGGGCTTGCTCGTCTGCTGCCAACGTGGGGGGGCTGGGGTCCCTGAAGGCGGCAGGGGGGGGAGGGCCGGAGGAAGGAAGGAGAATGCAGCTGTGCTCACCAAGCTCCCCCTTGAATGGCACAGAGCTTCAGGCACCTTCTCCCGCAGAGAGCAGCACCTCTGTTTCGCGGTGTCGCTTCCCCTCCCCCATCCTGGGTCCCTGAGAGCCCCTTCGGCCAAGGTCCCCTTTTTTCGGTACAAAGCTGAGGTGGCCGGGGCGCCTGGGGTGCTGGTGTTGGGGCAGGTATGCCCAGGCGCCCTGAAAAGTCACCCCTTGGCTTCCAGGCCTGCAGGCCGAGCCCGGGCCTCTCCTTCCTTCCAAGGTCAGGGACTGGGCTCCTCTCTGCCCATCTTCGGGAGGACGGCTGGCAGGGAGGCCCGAAGCCCCGCCCCCCAGGGACCACCAACAGGCCGCCCAGTTTGACTGCCAGCACCACTCGATGGATGCCAAGCAGGGCAGCACCTGTCGGAACGCCCGAGGGTCCCGGGAGGCACCCGCCCGCACCCGGGCCCCAGCTCAGGCCTCCTGGCTGCCATCCTCATCAGCTTCCTCAGAAACACTCCTGGGGCCCCCGCGTCCATGCAGCGTAATCGCCCATTCTTTTCAGCCAAGGCCGCGGCCCGCATGCCGGAGAGGGAAGCCCCCCCGCCCTCCAGCCAGGCGCCCTCTCCTCCCTCAGCACAGCCGGCGCCTCACCGGGAATGGCCCTTCCGTGCAGGGAGGGGTCCGTAGGTGCCGGCGGGGGGGGCACCGGGGCAGGAGCCCACCAGAGCCTGAGAGCAGCCGCAGAGGGAGGGGGCCCCGGGCACGGCCGGCTGGGTGGACGGCCCACACACGGGGGCCCGGTGCTCTGCCAGTGTCAGCGGCCCCAGAAACGGGGGCCACTAGGGACAGCTGTCCTGCACCTCAATACTCAATGCTGGGGGGCAGCAGCCGGAGGGCCCAGTCCTTCTAGCTGCTGCCAGAACTCAGTGGCTCCTGCTTCGTCACAAATAATGCATAGGAGGAGCCCGGTGGCAGCGCCAGTTGGCGGGCAGGGGCCCTCCCGCTGGGGTGCACAGCCAGGCTCCCAGGGAGACCACGGCCAGCCCCTGGCATGGGGCCGGCGAGGCCCTCAGCTTCGGGGCAGATAGAGGCGGAGCCGGCCAGAGCCCGCCCCGGTTTCAGGCTCTGCCCTGTTCATGTAGGTGCCGTGCAAGGAGGCAAGTGCCTGCGCTTTGAAGGAGGGGTCGGGCTGCGTGGCATGGGGTGAGAGCGGCAGGTGGCCCGGCCTGCCCAGGGGACGTGAGTGCCACACGCAGCCACGACGCTCGCTGGGGAGCCCGCAGGCCCTGACCGGGCAGCTGGCCACTGGCGCGTCCTGCCTCTGCTTGAGGCGGGAGCTTAGCAGCCGAGACCCACAACGTTAAGACTTGATGGAGGCCACATGTTCTAGGGGCCCCCCCTGTTTCACTCCTGTGTGGCCCTGGTCTCCCCAACCCTCCCCCAGACCATCCAGGGTCAAGGTTTCAGGTGCCCATCCCAGCATCCTCAAATCTAGAGGAGCTCTGGCGGACAGACAGCCGGCCTCCAGGATCACAGCAGTTCAAGGCGGGGGGGGGGGGGGGGGGNCAACCCTCCCCCAGACCATCCAGGGTCAAGGTTTCAGGTGCCCATCCCAGCATCCTCAAATCTAGAGGAGCTCTGGCGGACAGACAGCCGGCCTCCAGGATCACAGCCATGCACGGTGTGTGTGGGGGGCAGGAGGAATGAAATGGCAGCGCGGGCCAGGCGGGGGTGGGGGGGGCTCCACACCGCTTTGCTTTTCCTTCACTTGCAAGATGTTCTCATAGGGCACTTATTTTTCTTTTATGCATTTTATGGAGAAGTTTGTCTTGGGGGGAAAGAGAGTCGTGTAAATAAAAACACTGTCTCATAAAATGCAGCCTGGACACAGGAGTCAATAGTCGGGCTAAGGGTACTGTGTACCTTCTATGATGAATGTCCTTGACTTGGAGGAACTAAATGGGTCCCCTGGTGATAAAGAAAGATTTAAAGAGACCAGAGTTTATAGCTGTGGGAACACGGACAGGCGCGGTATGACAGAGAGAGCAGGGGGGGATGCACAAATCTCCTTCCCAGAATACTCATTTTGTTTAAAGACAAAAAAAACCCCGAAAAAACAAAAACCACAGAGACCACACACGCATATATACACGCACGCACGCGGTATATATATAAACAAATGAAGAAAGAACGAACTCGAACACAACTTCATTTTCCAAATCCCTGAAGCAGCAAAGCACAAATGAGGAGGCCTGAAGCAGGAAGTGGGGGGGGGGGATGGGAGGGCAGAGATGGGAGGAAGGGAAAGAATAAATAAGCAGCAAAAAAACCAAAACTGCTTTTCAGAGCAGTGCACGTTTTTTGTCTTTCTCCTCTAAGTAACAATTTATCTCCCAGAGCAAAAGGCCCCTAAAACCTCCCGGCAGAAGCGGAGTGGGATTGAAAAGAACACAGCGGTTGCAAGCAGCTGTCACATCGTGACTTCATTTAGCTACGAAATAGGAAATAGGAAGAGCTGAGAGGAGAGAACATTCCACAGGGTTCTGAACCCGGGAGGGGGCGCGGAGCCAGGTGCGGATCAGGTGCACGGACCCAAGGCCAGGATGGGACTCGGCCTGGAGGCGCCGGGCCCGCCCCCCCCCGCCCCCCTGTAGCGGCAAGGCCTGGGTGCCCCGTGGAGAACCCACCTTCCATGGGCGTGTTGGGGTCCGGGCGGTTGGCAAACACCACGTCCACGTATTCCAACTGCAGCCGCTCCAGGGAGGCTTTCAGACCTGGGGGGGAGGGGTCAGGAGGGACGGTCAGCATCTTCACTGACATTCCGGACCCTCACCATGCTGTGAGCGCGAACGTGCGCGCATGCGGCTCCGGAGCCGTCCCACGGCACGGCGACACCTGCGGGCAGGTGCCACCTGAGGTGAAGAAAAGCCAGGACTGAACTGGGCCCACGCCCCAAATAGGGGGGTTGTGTGGTCGGGTCCACAGGCCAGATGCTCCGTGACTGAATGAAGGGGTGCCCTCCTGGTGACGGGGAAGCCAGGTTCTCCCGCACGGAGGGGGCGCTGCACCCCTGCCCATGCACCGAGGGCGGAGATCACCAGCGAGCACTGAGCAACGGCTCAGAACAGAGCTGCACAGAGACGGGCTGGGGGGGCTGCGGGCAGCGGAGCCTCCGAACCATGTGATTCTTAAAGGGGCGGGTGTATCACCTGGATGAAAACGAGCACTGGTGGGAAAAGGCACGAAGGCAACGCCAAGTATAGCATAAGCAGCCTCGCCGACCCTTCTCTTCTCTCTCGACACTCGTGCACAGAGCCCCCGGCTGTCTGACATGCAGCCGGGGTTCTTCCCGGTCCCCCCCAAACCCCAGAGGTGGCCACTCTCCCCACACCCATTTTACAGATGTTGCCACAGAGGCTTGGGGAAGTGATGCCCCTTGCTCAGGACCACCAGGCGGCATGGGGCCCGGCCCAGGCCTGCCTTGTCTTCCCCAGACCACGCTGCCCATCTGAGGGCTGTGCTCTGGTGACGGGAGGCTGGGCGGAAGGGCAGGGTGGGACCAGAGCTCCGGCTGGTGGGCGGGGCACTCTGCTTCCTTCGCTTGTGCGGCTGCAGGAGGCTGCCGGTTCAGGGGCTGCGTGGGGCCACAGCGCCTCCCTCACCTTCTATTATGTGCTTCCTCGAAAGGCCCCTCTCGGTCTCCGCTCTGAAAAACAGGACAACAGCGTGTGTGATGTTGCAGGCGGTTTTGGGGGAAACGTTCATGATGCGATGTTAGGCCAAGAAAAGTAGGTCAGTGCGTGCCGCCTGCGTCTGATTCCACTTGGGAGACGACCACAGGCTACAGGGATGGCTCATGCAGCTGGGGGTGGGGTGGGGTGGGGGGTGGGATGGGGGGCGGACCGCTGCCTGGCTGGCCTGGGGGAGGGCGGTGGCCGCAGGGGGAAGGGGGGTCTGGGTCCCAATCGGCCCTTCTGTTTTGGCCCTTGGATTTTTTTTTTTTAATTAAGAATGAATCGTATTTATAATTCCTAAGACGCCGATTTGGTCTGGCCCTAGAGATGATGAGGGGCCAGACTGCTGGAAACAGGCAGGGGTGGTCTGTGGCCAGGGAGGGTGGCGCATGGTTGAGACAGTTCGCGAATTTTCTGGGTCTTCCGGAGTTTGGGGGATGTTACCTTTGTAATCAGAAAAAAATAACAAACCCACGAAGGTAAAGAATAAAAATGAAACAAGGTTTGAGTAAAAGGCAATTCAGACGAAGCTGCTTTGCTGGGAAGTGACGTCCCTCAGCAGGGCTGGGCACCAGTGGGGCAGACAGCTGCACAAATGCCACCCCCCCCAACCATCCGGGAGTGGGGAGGGGGAGCTGACCCTTGACCCCGGCCTGGAGCACGCCTGCCGCTGCACTTACTTTCCTCCCCAGAAGATCTTGGTGGTGATGACCAGGCTGGACCGTCTGTGAACAGAAGACGGCTGTTACTGGACGTGGCCGGGGTGGGGAGGGGTGTCTTCAGCTTGTAAAGAGGGTCCTAAACACCTTTCTCATCTGGGAGCACGGGGTGGGAAACGGGAGCTTCTAGATCATTCCGTGTTTGCTGTGTGCGAGCCAGGGTCCTGGGGCTCCCTATGGAGCCAGGAGACAAGCCACAGATGCAACAAACTCATCTTGTGGCCCAAAGCTGGGCAGTGGGGGCGGGAGGGGATGGGTCCCGTGCACCAGAGCCCAGAGCAGGAGGCATGCTGGGGGCGGTGAAGACGGAGCCCGGCCGGGGAATGGAAGCCCCCCGCCCCCACCCCGGGTGCAGGGAGCTGGCTCCCAGGAGGTCACTGCAGGGGCTGCGCCGATGGAGGGGCTGTGGTGGGGATGCAGAAGGCGAGGGGGCCACGCAGGCCGGCTCTTCCCCTATAGGCTGGAGACAGGCTTTCAGAACGTGGGACGGCTTTGGGGAGAGCCTGGGGGACACGGAGGGAGGGGCGGGTGGGTGGCTCAGGCCCCTGGGTGAGGGAGCTGGTGTGTGGGTGATGGTAAAGCCCCGAGGGAAAGGACTGGGTTCGGGCCTCCTGCTAGAAACCCACAAGAGGCAGGTGCTGACACCTGGCTGGTCCTGGCGGGGTGAGTGGGGATACGGATGGCCCCTCCAGGCCACAGCTCATCGAGACCCTTCCCAGGGGAGGGTGTGCCCATGTCCCCTGTGGTTGTGTTTTCCTCCCTTGGAGGGGGGGTGGGGGGCTGCTCAGGAAGTAGCTCCTCAAAATCAGAGGCCGTGGCCCCCTTGAACTTCACCTCCAGGCAGGGGGTGACTGAATACCTATCTCCCTGGGTATTCACCTCAGACCTAATCAGGGGACTCCTAGTAGGTGCCATTTCCTTCAATTACAGCCCGAGGAGGAAATTCTGTGATGAATTAGAGCCGAGAAGAAACAAACAGCTCTGTTGGGACAAGAAGGGTGTCTGTCACCTGTGCCCCGGGGGGTCTGAGTGGCACTCGCCGGGGGTGGGGTGGCCGGACAACAGCTTCTGCTGTTTCTGAAAATAAAGACACGCAGGCCCCAGGGGGCCCCCAAGTGCAGGCGAGTGCCCAGCCCGGTCTGTGCCAAGGAGGGCGGACCCCTCAGGCTTCTGAGCTGCTTGTGGGGGGACAGAGTGGAGGGCCGGGGTGAGGACCAGCCACGAGGGCCACCCCGCTCCCCAGGCCACTGTGATGTGTGGCCCTGAACGGGCCAGCTGACTTACAGACTCAGGCCCTTGGGCCTCAGGACAGCCCCGCAAGGGAGGTCAGACATGGTCCCTTTACAGGCAGGGCCGGGGGCAACGAGGGAGGCCAAGCCCAGAGCAGGCCGGCCCTCGCCTCAGTGGCCGCACCTACCCTCTGCCTGACCCAGGCCGTCAGGAAGTCTTCGTGTCCAGATCTTTTTGGCCTCACACAATCAGTGTGCAACCTAGTTCCCCGGCCCCCTGAATCCCTGCTAGACCAGGGGTGGAGGTCAGAGGCAGAGGGGCAGAGCTGGGGGCGCAAGGGCCCCCCCGCTCATCTCCCCTCTCAGGCAGGGATGCCTCTGGTCTTCGAGAATGGAGTCTGGCACCTCACTTGGTGACTCAGCCCAGGCTTCCCACCTCATCACAGCCCCTCCCATCCCCCTCCAGTGTGCATGTTCTCTCCCCGTGGGCTGCCTCCACTCTGGAACATTCTCCCCTTCCCAGTGAGAATTCTGAGACATTCCAGGCTTTAGCAGGACTGGCCAGCTGCCCAAGGGCCAATGATGCCAATGCCAAGCACTCGACTGGGCAACAGGCAGGAAGAGCTTTGGGACGCCAGCTAGTGCTTATCCAGGACCCAGTGGCATCTGTCTCGCATGGTGCCCTCCTCCCTCCCACCAGCCTCTTCCTCGCTTTCCCCTGTGTGCACCGTGGACACTGACCGCAGAGGGAAAAGGGTAATTACCTCCATCCTTTCTTCTTGATGATGTTTCCTAGTACCACCTCGGCCCTGCAAGAAAAAGACCGAGACACAGGGATTTCATTACAGTGTGACAGCAACGTTCAACCTCGCCCCTACAGTGACAATCGGCCACTGGGTCCCCTCCGTGAAAATGCCACTGGGGCCAGAGAGCCAGGCAGTTAAACGACGCTCGTCTTGGCTCGGGCAGTTCATTCCAGAACGGGAGAGAGCCTCTGAGTGGCCGTCATTCCCCATGAAGATGGCCGTGGGCGGTGCAGCCATGGCTCTGGCTCTCGCAGAGAAGGAAGGAGTTGATGTCCAGCTTGGCGAGGACTGCGGGATCCCGTTTCCCTGGGCTGCTGGAAATTCACTGGGGGAAATGTTTGGCAACGTTCCAGGGGTAAAGTTTCCAGAGAAGTGTATTTTTTTTTAAAGGTAAATTATTCATCAAGTGCATCCTCTCTTTTTTCAGAGATGATCAACATGTATTCAGGGCCAGGGGCTGAATTTCCAGCAGGGGGCATGCGTGTGTGTGTGTGTGTGTGTGTGTGTGTGTGTGTGTGTGCACGTGTCTCTCTTGTTTCTTGCTTTTCAACAATAGTGAGACAAATGCCATGCTGACTGCTCTCCGTTCCTTCTGGCGTCACTCTGGCCACACACCAAACTCGGGCTAGCCGGGGTCATGGGCGGGGCTGTTCCAGCCTTGCTTGGCACCGTGGCACTGGATTCACTTTTAAGAACTTTCTGCTTGTAGCAAAATGTTTCTGCGCAAAAACAACAGACGGAGAACGATCCATACCCACTGCTACATTCCAATTATAAAAGCGCCTGAGTCATCCACTCAGAAATAATGGGCTCTAATTTGCAAGCTGTTCAGCATACATTCGGAATGCTCTTCATTCATGGTCAAGATGTACAGAAACCCGCTCAGGCCTGGGCCTCTTCCCTTTAGTCCTTGGTCCCGCGTTTGTGGGATGAAAGGTCAGGAAAGAAGGAAGGGAGAAAATCACGGAGTGGTCCTGGGGTTACAGGAGCTATAGACCATCCGCTAGGCAAAGCCTGTTGCTTATGGCTACGGATTCTTGTGGCCCTGAATTTGGGAAGCCTGACATCTGCTTGGGGGGCCGGGGGGAGGGGGAGGAGCCGGCACAGAAATCCTGCAGCTCTCGGGTAAGTGCCCAAATTAGCATCAGCATAAGAAGCAGGGGACTCAGCAAAATATGCACTTGGCATTCTGGTTGGCAAGCGGGACAGCGCCTGGCCCAGCAGCCCCCTGCCCAGAACAGCTTCTTCTCACCCGTCCCTTGCTTCCCGTGTGGGTCACTGCTGGCACCCTGCCACCGATGGGGCTGAGAGGGTAGGTCCAGCCCAGAGATGGACTGCGAAGAAGCCGCAGAGGCGTGCGGAGGAGAGGAGGCAGGATGAGGGAGGTGGGCTCCAGGGGCAACAGTAACCCACGGAAGCCGCTCCGAGTCCTCGACTGCTGGGCAGGGGCTCTGAGAGGCCCTGTGGCTGCCAGACACCTGGTGCGTTCGCCCTGATATGCCCTGCGTGTCCGGTTCACCAGGGGCAAGTGAAGACAGGGACCCAGGGACTGTGGCGGCCGTGGAGTGGGGTGTGCAAGGCTTGTGCACAGGGGCCAGGCCATCTGGAGGCCGAGGAGGCTGAGTGCAGCTGCCTCCCCCCGCACGCTCTCCGGGCAGCAAAGCCACGGTGGGAGCAGGGCCCAGGGAACGCCCGTGGGCTTGGCAGGCGCATCGGGCTTTTCTGCCTCTGACCCCTTGGCTTAGTGCATCTGTCTGGGAAGCCTTTCACTTTGATGGGAAGAGGCTGCCGGTAGGGAGGGGTTAGGAGGGGGCTGTAGCATCAGGAGGGGCAGAGAGGCTGCTGGCAGGGACTGGAGGAGATCTGGGGGTCCCAGCAGAGGTCCCTGAGGCTGTCAGTCCTCAGACCCTGGGTCGGGACTTGAGAAAAGGCCCCGCCGGGGTCCCGATTCTCAGTGCTCTGGGCCCCCTTGCAAGCCGTAGGTTATAACCCAGAGCCTTTGAGGGGGGTGCTGACCCGCAGCAGCCCCGGTGCATAGCCCGCCAGCTGATGGGAACTTGGCTCGCCCCAGGCAGGAGGGGCCGGAGGGAGGAGGCACAGAGAGCCAACGAATGACTTCACAAACAAAAGCTGACTTTTGGAAACCCGATGCAGGAGAGTGGATGATTTGATTACAGCGAGTCTTTAAAACTGAAGCCAGCAGCCTTGGCTGAAGAGGGCTTTTACATAATTGAGTAGGGAAGTTCACTGCCAAGATGGGAAGTGCTTCCTACAGCGCTCGGCTGGCCAGGCTCCGCTCTCCCCAGCAGAGAACACGGTCTCCCCTGCACTGCAGTTCCCTGCAGCCCTCGCCGTACCATTAAGACGTGGGAATGTCAGGCATGTGGCGCTGGCCGCGGGAGCGCCTGGGACAACAGCTTAATCAGGCTCTGGGCGGGCACAGCATCTCAGACACTGGAGGGACTGTGGTCCTCTCGGTGCTGGGATACGTGGGCAGTTTAGAAAGTGACCAGCGTCCGAGCGTTCTGCAATTCGGGCCCCCTGAACACAACACCTTCTAAAGCCACTTAGAGCGTAGAAAAGCAGGCAGAAGTGGGAGGCACATTTGTGGACATTTGGGGGCAAGGACCAGAGCTCTTTCCAGGGAAGGTATGGCCTGTACCGCACTTTCCCCGTGAGAAAAAGACACGTACTTGCCCGCCGCGTAGACCTCTGCAGTATCGAAGAGGTTGATGCCATTGTCGTAGGCCAAGGTCATTAGCTGCTCCGCCATCTGAAAGGAGAAAACCAGGGCCGCTAGCGCACAGCCGTGTCCTGCCAGACGGGGTTGGGGGGTGCCCGGAGACTCGGGGGCATCACCTTGTGGCCTGGGGGGCCTCCTGGCGTCCAGACCCTGCACCCAGGGCTCCACTCGACCTCTGCTGCCATGGGACAGGCATGGAGGCAGCTCTAGGTAGTGGACCCACAGGAAGGAACAGCCTATGGGTCCTCACAAAGCTTAGCACTTATATTTAGTCGGACACAGCCCCCCACAGGAGGGCGATAGATCCTGGCGGAAAAGCGAATGCTTTTTTAAAGCGATGGCTAGAACGTGTCCTGTGGCCGCATGCCCCCGATTCCTTCCCAGCAACCACACATCATCACTGTTGTTTGCAGACGGAGACACGGCCACCCCCCACTGGAGCATGCTGCCTCGGGGGAGCCTCTCCGCTGCCTGGCAGGCAGGGCTGATGAATGCGCCCCGATCCCCACACGCCCTCGGCCAGACTTTGCTGCTCAGGCTGGTCAAAGGATGAGCTAGCGCTCCACCAGCAGCGACCCGCTGCTTGTGGGGGTGAGGATGGAGCAGGGGGAGGCCCCCCGACAGTTAGCCACGGAGAACTCCGCGGGTCCTCTGGACAGCGCAGGGGTCCCCCGGAAAGTCGCAGATGCGAACGCCCCGGCCCCTCACTCCTCAAAGTGCCCTCACTTCTCAAAGTGCCCTCACTTTGCTGCCCGAGCTGGGCTGAGTAATAACTTCACAACCCTCCCAAACCGCAGGACGAAAAGCCGGCCACGTTTGGGTTCGCAGAGATCCTCCCCACAGAGGACTCAGAAGCCCCACGGGCCAGACGGGTATGGAGGGTGAGGCCCGGTGGCCGGCGGGGAACCCGCACTCGACCCTGCCCCTCTGGGAAGGCAGCTCAGCATGACCACATCCCTTGATTTTTCAAGAGAAGCCAGGGATCCAGGGAATTTTGGGGTGGTAAAAAATTTCTGATTTTCAAATGTGGGCAAGGAACCCCAGAGATTTCTGATACTGAGCAGGCCAAGCTAGGCCCTATCAGTCAACGGCTGTCGTTGGAGTCAGAAGGCCCAGGGGGCGTTGAGGTGGTCGGTGGAGGGATTTTCCACATCCACCTGCAGGGCTGATGGACTCCACCGGCACTCAAGTGTGATCACATCGTCCTCGCCAGCCTCCTCCCCCTCCCCTCTGCTTCTCTCTCTAGTGCTCCAGGCACACCAGCCTCCCTCAATGGTTCGTCCTGCCTTCATCCGGACTTCTCTGGGCTGCATCTGCCAATCTGCCCAAGCTCTGCTGGGGGTGCACCCCGTGCTGGGCCCTGGTGGGTTATACAGACCATCTAGGGGTGCATGCTGCCTCTGGGGAGGGTTCTAAGCCGAGCAGACTCAGGGCTTTTAGTTTGATACTTCAGACAGCGTAGATCTTTCACGCCTACTAGAGATGTTCTTCTGCTCTTTGCTCTTCTCACGCTACATCTTGGAAATCAACCCATAGCAGTTCACGGGGAGCTTCTGCCTTCTTTTTTAAAAAAGTATTTAAAACAATTTAAAAATTGTGGTAAAAGATGCATAACATAAAATTTACCATTTTAACCTTTTTAGTGTATAGCTCTGTGACATTAAGTACATGCATGTTGTCGTATACCATCACCCCGCCCCCTTCCAGAACTTTCTAATCTCCCCAAACAGAAACTCTGTTCTCATGAAACGCAAACTTTCCACGCTCCCTCTCCCCCCAGCCCCCGGCACCCACCCATCTATTCTCCTAGTCACCTCATGTGACTGGGGTCACACAGTATTTGTCTTTCTGTGACTGGCTGACTTACTTCACGTAGCTTGGTGCCTTTAAGATTCCTCCATGTTGTAGTGTGTGTCGGGATTTACACGGCTGGGTTTTGAAGGGTGGTTAGGAGTTCGTCAGGCAGGAAGGGGGAGAGTAGGTGGAGGGGGGTGGTGCAGGCAGAGAGGCTGGTGCGTGTGGAGGAGGGTAGCTTGCTTCACCTTGCCCTTCCTGTGCTCAGGTCCAACACCTGGGCCTCCTCCTCGCCCATCTTTCTCTTACTCTTACTTCAGCCGGTCTCGCCGGCTCCCCCTTGAAGCCGATCCAGAATAGACTCCAACCCCGCCCCATCTCCACTGCAGCCACCTGGTCCAAGCCGGAATGGCCTCAGCTGGGTTTCTGTGGCAGCCCCTGACGCTCTCTGCTTCTGTCCTTGCCCCCGGCACCCTGCCTGGGCAAAGTGGGGTCCACACAGCAGCAGCAGATATGCAGAACCCCGGGCTCTGGCCCAGACCTGCCACATCAGAACCCGCATTTTCACCGAATTTCCAGGGGTTCATGCATACAATACAGTTCGAGCAGCACCCCCCACCATCTGGGAAGGGGGGTCTGGCTTTTTCGGTGGAGCAGCCAGAGTGAGCCTTTTGAGGTAAGTCAGGTCAAATGTCCTCTGTCCAAAAATCTCCAGTGGCTTCTCTGCCACGGACGGTCAAAGCCAAAGTCCCCATCAGATCTGCTCCCTCACCTCTGGCCCCATCTCTTGACCTGAGGCTCCTCCTCCTGTGGCCTGTTGGAGGCTGGGTACAGTCCTGTTCCCTTGGCCTGGAATGCCCTCTCCCCGAATCACCACATGGCTCACTCTCACTCCCGCGTTCCCTGATCGTCCGGCACAAAATGGGAGCCCACATCCCACAACTCCTTTCTGTTTTCTTGTTCTCTGCAGTTGACTAAATAACGGCTCGCGGAGCCTGTGAAGGGTCCCTTGGGTAGAAAAAGGGTCTCTGTCGATGTGACTACATTAAGGGTCTTGAGATGGGCAACGCTCCTGGGCTGTCAGCTGGGCCCTGAATGCCACCACAGCTGTCCTTACAGGAGGGAGGCCGAGGGAGGGTCTGACACAGAGGAGCAGGGGTGTGACCGACCGCAGAGGCAGAGGCTGGAGCGCGGTGGTCACACACAGAGGACTGTGAGAAAACACATCTCTGAAGTTCTAAAACCATGCAGTTGGTGGAAATTCGCTAATGCAGCCACAGGACGCGTCTAGCCCTCCGAGACGATAAGATGTGCTTACTGTCCGTCCCCCTCCCCAGAAAGATAGCAGCCGATGGCAGGGACCTGGCGCTCTGCGGCGCCCCCCAGGCCCGAGCTGGGAGAGGACCGTGCTCAGCTGGCTCTGGTGGCCTCCAGAGCGGCCTCCCCGCCACGTCCTCACTGCTCCTGGCCACGCCTTGCCCCTCCCCCCTTCTCCTGTTCACTGAGCTGGAGCATGAACGCTGTGAACACATCTAGATCCCCCCACGGACGGGGGAAGCCGGGCGGATTCGCACAAACCAGGCCTCGGCCGCCCCCGGGGCTGACCCGGCGAGGCTCACCACGCAGAGAAGATCGGCAGGCTCTGACTCGGGGGACACCGGTCCCATTTCCCCAGAAAGACATAAACACGATCCTAACCACATCAGGACGGTGAGAAAGAAGATGAGGGCACGGGAGTTTTTGGGGCTGGGCTTTTAATGTCTGTCATTGCTAGGATTTGGGTATAATTCCCCTCCCGGGTTTTTCTATGGGAATATATGCTTTCCCCTCCCTGCAAAACTGCGGCTCTAACACACAGACTGCTGTCGGTGCTGCTTTCCACGCGCTCTCTCCTGGGCCTGTTTCCCACGTCATTCATCAAAACATGACTTCTGAAGACTTCCGCTCCGTGGGCGCGTCCTACTTCATGTGACGGGTGATCGGCTATTTCCAACATCAGAGTCCCAGAAACTAATGGCAGGAGGAAGTTTAGGAGACGGTGGGCCTCCTCCCTTCCACTCCCACTGGGGGGACCGGGAATCCATCCCGTCCCAGACCTGGGAGCTGACCGCGACCCTCCCTTCAGGATTCTCCAGGTAGACCTCAGGCACTTGACGTATCTCTGGAGCTCTGTGTCCTCAAAATGGGGATAACGCTACCCCCCCGGGTCAATGGAGGATGGAGCGCCATAATAAATGTCAAGTTTAGGGGCGCCTGGGTGGCTCAGTCGGTTGAGCATCCGACTTTGGCTCAGGTCATGATCTCACGGTTCGTGGGTTCAGGGCCCGCGTCAGGCTCTGTGCTGACAGCTCAGAGCCGGGAGCCTGCTTTGGATTCTGTGTCTCCCTCTCTCTCTGTACCTCCCCCACTCACATTCTCTTTCTCAAAAATAAATAAACATTAAAAAAATTAAAAAATAAATAAATATAAGGTTTGTAGCTACCATCCTTACTAGATTTTTAATGCCCAGGCTGCTTTGAATGCATGCTCTGAGCAGCCGTGTCAGGTCACACGAAGGGCCCCGTCTAGAGGTTGGAAAGCTGACTCTGACCAGGGCAGTGCCCACACTGGGCCAGGTGATCAGAGCTTCACTAACACTGTCTGCTCAGCCCCTCCAGGACCCCTTCCCCAGGGACACAGCCCCATAGACATTTGCAGCGAGCTGCTGTGACCCCAGAGGACAGGGAACGGCAGAGCTAAGGACCAGAGAGTGAGACTGTAGTCTGCAGGTCAGATGGGGCTCTGGGGAAGCAGCCAATACGATATGTAAATGAGCGGGCGTGGCCACATGTCAATAAAACTATTTATAAACACCTGGTTGTGGAGTTCATAGAGAGAGTAGAACAGAGGCTCCCGGGGGCTGGGGAGTTATTCCCGCATGGTTCCAGAGTTCTGTTTAGGGTGATGCAGAATTCTGGAAGCAGACAGTGGTGATGGCTGCACAGCAAAGAGAATGTACTTAATGTCACTGAACTGGACACTTATAAACGGTTAATGTGGTAAATTTTATGTTATGCATATTTAACCATAATAAAAATGGCAAAAATAGCAAATCTTATGTTTCATATACTTAATTGAAAGAAAAAAACCAAACACTAGGCTGGGGGCCAGAGGTGGCCAGAGGGCCACACTGCTCACTGCCGTTGGCGGGTCTTACCGTGAAACACCCCTTTGCCACGGAAAACCCACCGGTTCCTTGTTTCTGTATCTCCTGGGCATCATGGAGTCTTGCACACAAAAGGGAGCTCTAAACACAGGACCTTGTTCCTGGATTCTTCAGAAGGGCAAGCACCTTCCTCTGGACACAGGCTTAGCAAAGAACACGGCACTCTTTGTGGCGTGGGTGGGGCGCCCTCTGGAATGCGCCGTGGCCTGTGGCCCCGTGGCCTCCGGAGGTCTGGGCAGCTTACACGGTCCTCTGCAGCCTGGGATGGTCCTGGATTCCTCGTGGTGCTGACATTGGTGGCTCAGCGGGGCAGGAAGCCAGCCAGCTAGAGAATAAAACCTGGCCGTTCTTCATCTGAACCGCAGCGAGGCGGGCCCTGCGTCCTTGACATATTGATTTTGTTGGACACTAAACACAGGATTTAATACGAAAAGTCCACTTGCTCCCTCGCTCCATCATTTCTGCCTGCCAGGTCCTTTCAGAACCCCGAATCTGTCATCTATTGTATCTGCTGTCCTTCAGCTTTGTGTCGTCTGGAAACGACATCTGGTGTCTTCATAGGGTCACTATATCCAGGATGGAGACGCGGCGGAGGCCAGAGCCAGCTGGGCGGCCAGGGGATCATGAATCAATACTCTTTGGGTGCAATGGATCTGTTGGTGAAGACGTCAGCTGACCGGACGGTTATGATTCCGCCACTTCTCTGTATCTTTCTCACAAGGACGACACACGGAGGGGAAAAGCAGTTATTCCCCTCCATGTCAAAAGGGAAACAGGGGAGTCACCCACCACTTACTTAGGGGGAGCCACAGGGGCTCGGGGGCTCCGACTTTCTATTCTGAGTGCTCAGAACCAATCTGGTGGCTAAAAGCAAGATAATTCCCTGTAACTTAAAAACTCCTGACTTTATCCTGAGATAGTCCAGAGCCAGAACCCTCTTCAAAGGCAAGGAGCTTCTGGACCCAGTGACGGCCACAAAACCAAAACGGAACAAAAGCACAAATTAAATACATTTTGATTTTGATGGGAGCAAAGCTTTTCCTTGGAAAACGAACGAAGCAATCACAGCTGATGAGGTCTCAGATGAACTCGCTGATTAATTTTTAAACGCCACCTTTCCGAGAGGAAGTAGGGCAGACGTGAGGACAGCTTCTGGTGCAGGTGTCCAGACCTCTCTGAGCAAATGCCACCGCTCTCATTTCCAGGATATTCACTCACTGGTCAGACACGCACGGCAGCCCGGGGGGCACCCCTCTCTCCACAGCAGACGCCGCGTCGCTGCGGGAAGCCGGAGGCCCCAGCAAGTACATTCGACAGCAATGTGCAGGATTAACAGAAGCCATGGGAAATGCAGTTAGGAGCTCGGCAGACGTGGAGCTACTCAGTCTTCAGGCTGGAGTCAAATGTGCCGAATCTGGATTCCGAATGACTTCAACGGACACTTACTGAAGTTTCAAATCCGCATGGCTGTTTTCTGCTGGAGCAGCTTAGAAACCCATTGGGCTTTGTAAGTTGGAGAGTGTGTGCTCCCTGAATTTTCCTGGCTAGTGGTGGAATAGGTGTTGTGCAGGTGAGAAGCTGGAGTTCCTGAGCCTTTAGGGGACTGGCTGACGTCCCAAGGCGCCCGCTGCTAAGGACCGGTACAAGATCTGACACTGCCGTGGCTGACCTCACCGTGCCCGCCACCCCAAAGGATCACGGCACCCTCGGGGAACAGAAAGAGGGAGGCTGCGGTGGCCGCCATGAGCACAGGCCCAGTGGCTCATGTGGTGGACTCTACCATGTGCCTGGCGCGGGCAGCCCTTGCTGCGACCTGGGGCCGAGAAAGCCCCGTCTTACCTCATCGGTGATCTGGCCTCCGAAGGTCACCCATGTTCCTGGAAGGAGACACACAGGCTCAAGTCAGAGAGCCTCCCAGGGAGCTCAGGCCTCCCCGAGTGCTCACTCCTCAGGCTGCAGAGTGTGGGGGCAGCCACAGGCCACCACGCCGCTCCGCTCTGCGCTGAGCACGTCCTGGCCTTCAGGGCAAGGCTTCCTCTTGGGGCCACCAACCTGGGGGACAGCAAGTGCCTGGAGAGGCAGCTGGCTGCAGCTCTATGAGCCGCCCGCTGGGGCTCGCGCTGACGTGGCTCCCATTCTGGTGACCTCCCTCACGGAGCAGGATGAGGGGCGTCTCCCTGAAATCACACAGCGTCTGACAGCCGTGCCCCCACTCCTGCTGGCTGGCTACGCGTGGGTGCACGTGGAGGGGTGTGGCGGGACCATGCTGTGTGTGCCATGGAGGTGGAGGGCGGAGCTCACGTCTGGGCCCAAATCCACCTGCCCTTTATGAGGACTCCGCCACGTGGGAGAGAAGATGCTCTCCAGACACAGCTGGGGCCAGCGCGCTTCTCGAACATTCTGGTGCGAGACGGGGGGCTGTGTGGGCACAGGGCCCTGGGAACTTGCCTCATTTCCACCATCTCCCCCCTAGGACATCCCCCTCCCCCGCCCCCGGCCTCCTGGTTGCCATGGCAACCGAGCCTCACCAGTGCGTGTGTGCCCCCCCCCCCCCCCCCCCCC